CATCACACTTATCAATATTATGAGCTTTGGTGCAATACTTACATGTATCTTGTCTTGGCCATTCATCTTTTTTATGTGTTACTAAAGTATTCTTGTATTTATTATCCTTGAATGTGTTCATTCGTGGATTCAGATCCTGTGTGTAGCTTGCCGCTTCCGACTTCCTCCACAGCCAGCATTTGAATTCCTGCAATGAATTTCTACCCTGGTTCTTCACCACTTGTTCTCCCCAAGATAACTGCATGCTGTAAGGTAATTTCTTAATCATCTCCTCTAATAACTGTGGACAATTGAGATAATCTTTCATGTTCATGACTTCTAAAGTAATTACTAAATTAGCAATAGTTTCGGTGAAGTGAATCAGGCCTTTGAAATCACCATTCCTTACAATAGCAAGTTGTTTTGCTTCTTGAACCAAAGATCTTACGATGAGATCAGGACGCCCAAATCTATTCTGCAAAATCTGTATGACGGACTGTATTGACAAGCTTGATAATAGTAATCCCTCTACAGCACGTCTTGCATCGCCCTTCAAACATTTCCTCAATCTGCATAAATTTTCGTCATCAGATAAACCTAAAACTTTAGTAGTAGATATATATTGGTTATAAAAACTTGGCCATTCCCTTATATTCCCGCTGAAAATAGGTAAATCTTTGTCTATGTTTTGTCTTGCTAGCAGATGTGTTATATCTTGAATTGGTAAATCGGAACCTCTATGTTCTTCTTGAACTCTAATTTTTCTTTCCTCCTCGTGAGTATTTAACCAACTACTGACCTTTTTGAAAGTGGCATCTGCTGATAGACTGCTACACCCATCTTGCGAACCTTCTTTAGAATCTTCTTCTTCGCAAACCCTTTCCAATAATAATCTATTCTCCAGGAGTCGTTGACTTACTTGCTTTCTTCTTGCAATAATCTCTTCTTCTTTTGCTAGAAGCTGCGCCATTTCTTCATCGGCTTTAATCTGTGCTTCTAATTCTCTACGCCTGACTGAACTTGCCTTGGTTGCCGACGATTTCTTGCTTTTGCGATCTGGACACCTATTTTCATTCTGACTAGAAGTACCTGGTATATTTTCTACATCTTCAGTCCTTATTTCATCCAATACTGAAGATGAAGCCGTTTTGCTCCTAGGTTTAACTGATTTACTCCTAGTCATCATCGTGAACTATATTTCGAAACTGTTCAAAGGAGCTTGAAGGACCAGCACAATGTTCAGATACGCACCTATAATGATGTTAACCCTCAAATGATGTCCTTATCCGGGTCGAAATGACCAGCACAATGTTCAGATACGCACCTATAATGATGTTAACCCTCAAATGATGTCCTTATCCGGGTCGAAATGACCAGCACAATGTTCAAATGAGTCAGGATACACAGATTTTCCAAAAAAATGTATTTATTTCCTTTCAGTATAACATTTCTGTCTTTATTTATTATTTACTGGTGGTCTAAATTGATTCCTATGAGAACCTCACATTCAACTATTTTTTCTTGAAACAATTGATATTTTAAACATTGACATTAAGTCACTGATTAATCAACCTCAAAATTGAACATTGTCATTATGGCAGTGACAACTAACCTGTAAATATTCATAGCCTAAAAATCAGACACTGACAAACGTTAAAAAACTTTGACAACTTCAAAAAACAATACTTCAAATTTCAACAATCGAAGACATCATTTTCAGCGACTTTCAGAATGCCATTCATTGAGCAATGCGCGTGGATCTGAAAATATATTTTCAGGGGTATAGAACTCTAGAGAAGGGGCCCTTGTAATTTCGATTCTAAACACGATTGAAGAGGTGAGGGAAATACCCCTTCATCAATTCAGAAACGCCGAAAGATTTGGACAGTTTTACCAGGGCCATTGGGAAATAGTTGGGAGAGTCCAAAAACTTGACATTTCCAACGGTCATGGAAATCAATATCGTGCCTCTCATAATGTATGAAGTCGAACTGGAAGATCTCACAGTGCCACTAATCTACAAGATGGTTTGTTATTCCCACTTTCCATATCAAATTTCACAGCTATGCTTCGTAACTTCATCACTGGAACTAGAAGTAGGTAACAGGGCTTGGTGTTCCTGATGATTCAGTATTGTAATTTATTATGTTGTTCTGCTTATGAACTTGTTATTTATTTTAGTGATCAGATAATAAAACTATTTATTATTAACATTAGCTTTATTACTCAAATCCATTTCAGCGGCTTCTGCTACAACCTAACAACATAACAATAACAAAAGCACCATCTCCGTCCTCCGTCCTGCCGAATGGAGTGCCAAAAACACATAGATTTGCACTTTCTTCATCAATAGCTATTTGATAAAAGCCACAGGTGGCATCCAATGTAGAAACAATTTTTGCACCCACCATCTTGGCGGTAATTTCTTCTAATGTGGGTATTATACATTGTTCCCGTATGATACAATTATTTAGGTCTTTCGGATCCAAGCAAATCTAAGACTACCATTTGGTTTACATGCTATCACTAATGCATTGACCCAGTCAGTTGCTCCCTTCACTTTTTCAATTATATTTTGTTTCTCTAATTCCATTAGACTCTCTTTTAATTTAGACAACAAAGGAAGTGCAACTCTTCTAGTAGCGTGAACAACTGGCTGTGCATTCTCTTTCAGTTTTATTTTATATTTCCCTGGTAAACAACCAATACCTACAAATGTTCCTTGAAATTCATCAACAAACTGTTTATAATCATTGTTTTCACTTTCAAGGTCTCTATCTTTTTTATAACACCCCAATGTGTGCTTGAGGATAAACCTAAAATAGCCTGTGTATTACTTTCCACTATATAAAATTCTAATTTATACATTTTATTATTTTTGTTGCAATTTAATTCACACATGCCTACTACTTTTAGACTATCTCCTGTATAGGACCTATGTTATACATACCTAAATTTCTCAAATGATTTATAGACAAAACATTGCACATAGCACCTGTGTCAACCTTTAATTTAAGTGTGCAATTATTAACATTTACTTCAGTAAACCACTCATTTTCATTATTTAGCATAGTATTTCTGCTTAATAATTCATCTTTTTCTACAGATCCAATATACAGAAATGACTCAGAATTGTTAGTTTCTGAAATTGTATTAATTTCCTTATCTTGTTCCTGATTTATTTCTCGTACATATGTGGAATTTTTACACACTGTAGAAAAATGATTTTTCTTTTTGCATTTTAGGCAAAACTTGCCATAAGCAGGACATTTATTTAAATCATGTGTATTTCCACATTTAGTACATGAAACAATCTTTTGACCTGAATTATTTTTTCTATTTACATTCCCAAACTTCTGATTTTGACTTTTCTGTTGTCCCTTATTTTGTTGTGTACTGCATTGACCTCTTGTGCATCTTCTGTCCCAGGGTGCATCTCCCTACTCTGCTCCTTGGCGATTTCTAGAATTTTACACTGCTCTATCACTTTTTCAAGTGTCAGGGTATCATCTTGAAGAAGTTTTTCTCTCAGCTCGTTGCTCCTCACACCACAGATGATCATGCACTTGATCAAACCATCCTCCAGTATATCAAACTTACATTTTTGTGCTTGCTCCTTCAGAGAAGTAATAAATTGCTCAAGGGTCTGTCCTAACTGCTGCCTGCGAGTGAAAAAGATGTATCTCTCGTATGAAAGATTCACTTTGGGCTTAAAATGAGCCTCAAATTTATTCAACAAGGGTTGTAATTTATCTTTTTCCTCTTCTGGAAATGTAAAGGTACTGTATATCTTGAAACCATCTTTGCCTAGATAGTGCAACAGCTGGGCACACTGTACCTCCTCGGACTTTCTTGTTACCTCTGAGGCTTTGAGATAATTCTCAAATCTGCGTCGCCAAAACAGCCAATTCTCTGCTACATTGCCTTGCATTCGCATTGGACTTATTCCTCTGCTGTCACCCATGGTATTTGGCTTATTTTCCTTACTTATCTTATTTTATATTTCTAATTACGTACTTAAAAAGTTTGGGGCACATGATTTTTACCTCCAATTTCTTTCTTCTCAATCAGATTCTTTCACCGACTGCGCCATGTAATTTATTATGTTGTTCTGCTTATGAACTTGTTATTTATTTTAGTGATCAGATAATAAAACTATTAATTATTAACATTAGCTTTATTACTCAAATCCATTTCAGCGGCTTCTGCTACACCCTAACAACCTAACAACATAACAATAACAAAAGCACCATCTCCGTCCATCGCACACTGCGCATGACATCTTTTATGTATGTCTAGTTGCATACCTAACAAGTATCACTATCGGATAATATTATGTCCAACCAAACAACAAAACAAAACATCGAAAATCGAAAGATCATAGGTTTTTATGGTTGTTTTGATGCCAGTGTACCAGTACTACCAAAATCGTTCGGAAATGAGATGAAAATTCAAAGCTACTGCTATTGCAAAGTGTTCCTGAATTGCTTACTGTGGCCAGTAATGTCTGCAATATCAGACCATGACCTTTAATTTCTTCCTCATTGTCAACACATGATGAATTAACACTGTCATCGGATCGTTACGCAGACGTCACAACATTGACGAAAGGCACAGATTAGGCCCGCCTTTTGTTGCATTTATTATTGTGAGGAATGTCATCCCCTATAATACTAAGGGCCATCACTGCTGTGGCGGTTCTTGTTTTTCTTGCGAATCATCGCCTGTGTGTTCCAAAAACCACGTGAAACTCAATTGCGAATCTTGTAAAAGGTCTCTCCTGTTTTGATAATCATATTCAAAACAGTGTTTGTGATACTCAACTATATAACATCAAACAGACACACCCTATCTCACACATATATTCGAAATACTCGATTCATATTTATTTCCACAGTATATTTCCGTAACGGTCTATACTGTGTTATTACCTATATTTCATATTTGTTATGGTCAACCAATGTGAATCAAGAAATAAGGATTATGGTAAATTAAATAAATGATATATTCATTATTTCCAGATATCCAAGGTCAGAAAGATTGATGATGGAAAGAAACAACACAAACATCAGGAAATATCTCAGCATCGCAAGACACCAACAGTAGCAAAAGTAAGTCGCAGCTTCTATTATGAAAGTGTCTCTCAAACGATTGACAGTGTCGCGTGTGAGCGTCAGTACATTTATACTACTTTAACTGAGATCTAGACTTGCTTAAGTACTTCAAATAGGATGATGTTTTCTGGAAAAGGTGCAATATTTACTTACCTACTGGAACTCATTGAATATTGGTGTTTATTTTTCAGTTTAGTTTTTTTATTTCAACGGGAAACCCCTCGTTACTCGTAACAAACACAATTTTACAAAAGAGGGTTGAAAAATTATTTTTTTCAAGAGTAAGGGGCCCAAAATAAATCTCATTCGACGCGTTCTGCATTTTTCTCAAATATTACAAAAATGAAACGAGATCATAAATGTCTGCTCATCCCTGAAAAATAATAAATCTCCTGGACCAACAAATTTCAAAATTTTTGAAAAACTGATGAAAGTACGTCTTTTTAAGTACATGGATGAACATAACATACTTTCTGAAAAACAATTTGGATTTCGGGAGAATCTTAGTACTCAAGATGCTATAGCAATAGTAACTTCAGTTGACAATAAAAGACCATGCCTAGGAATTTTTGTGGATCTGGCTAAGGCCTTCGACACAGTGTGTCACAAGATCTTACTAGATAAACTAGAACACATCGGCATAAGGGGTGTTGTCCTGGAATTATTCAATTTTTTTTTTAATAAATAGAAGACAGAAAGTGAGATTGAATGATAATGATAACGTATTGAATGAATATGGTTACTTATCAACAATAAATTCAGTCACCCGAAATCAGCCACATCAATAGCCGTCATGCATCGATCACATATTTATGAAAATGATAAAAAATGAACACTTCGAGAATATACTACCTATAATAATACAAACGGACATAACCGATCACTACACAATTGTATTACAATTAATGTTAGATAATCCCAAAGAAACACTGAACGATAAGCATTATATAAAGCATATTGATTATAACAAACTAAAAGACACCATCAGTGACACATCTTGGGAATCGGTGTACTCGGCAGCTGATCCAGATACTGCAACTGATATCTTTGTGAGTATACTCTCCAACGCAATTGACAGCTGCACTGAAATGAAAGAAAAGCGTACAAAAAATTATAAAATATCACCATGGATAACTAATGCATTAGTCAAATCAATAGACACAAAAAATAAAATGCATAAAAACGTTCTCAAACATCCGAATGATCTTGATATTAAATCAGAGTATAAAAAATATAGAAACAAACTAACATCATTATTAGCAAAAACAAAGTATGACTACTATATAACACAAGTAGAATTGAATCCTAATGACACCAAAAATCTGTGGAATATAGTTAATGAAATCAGTCAAACGAAGAAGAAACATAATAAAATTAGTACAATCAAAAGTGCAATAGGAAATAATTTAACTAATGAGAAAGATATTGCAAATGAGTTCAATGTTGAATTTACTACGATAGGTAGAAAACTAGCTGAAAAAATCAGGAAGGATGAGAATTTCGTCATCGACAGATTAACACAATTAAATTCATTTGTTTTACTACCAACAGATCCACAGGAATTGAAAACAGTAATCAACGAATTGAAAAAAAATAAATCTGTTGGACTTGATGGTATAAAGGCAGAAATTCTTCAACTATTGGCTAACTACATCGTTGAACCACTAGCGCATATTATTAATAAATGTATGAACATCGGCCAATGGCCATCTGCACTCAAAAACTCTGTCGTTATACCAATATTTAAAAAAGGAGACAATACTGTAACTAGTAATTATCGACCAATTTCGTTAATTAGTCATGTATCGAAGATATTTGAGAGAATAATTAAAAAAAGGTTGAATTCATATTTAAACAAATATAAAATTTTGTCTGATAAACAATTCGGCTTTAGAGAAAAAATATCTACTCAGGATGCCATACTGAGTTTAACCAATAAAATCAATACTGCCTTGAATGAAAGCAAGCCGTGTTTATGCATCTTTATCGATTTATCAAAAGCGTTCGATACCATCAGTCACCAGCTTCTATTGCAATCCTTAGAGGATATCGGCATTCGGAATAATTGCCTCGAACTATTTAGGAGCTATCTCATGGATAGACACCAGATTGTAAAGGTTGATGATGTTTTGAGTGAATCAAAAACTATAGAGTATGGGGTTCCACAGGGAACTGTTCTGGGCCCCATACTATTCAATATATATATTAATGGGCTGTTTTCACAACGAAGCAGTGGTGACTAGCGTCTAGCGCAAGGAGGTATTAGTGTAAACAACGTAGTGGGAGAACCGCGCCAAGCGAGACGCGGACGCGGACAAACATCACCTATGCCTTCACCTATCGACATGCCCGACGAACGTTGGAGCGAAGGAGCGAAACAATAATGTAAAAATAATATTAGAAATATGAATACAGGGTGAATTGGGTATATAGGTGCTTATTGTAACACGTTCATTCGTTAGGAAGGTATGTTCGGATAGTTTTTACAAGATCTAGCAGACTATCTCTGTAGATAGGTAGGTAGGTATTATCAAAATCAAATGAATTAAATCGCAAAATTTGAAGAATCATTTGATTAAGTTTTTTTCCGCTATATCAGAAAATACAGGGTGCTCGGAACAGACGATCGACAGGGTACAAGTTGATTTTCTTAAAAGGAACACCCTGTATTTCATTGCATTCTTAGATTATCCCTGAATAGCTGATTTCATCAATAAGTATATCACACTTGGGGTCTAGCGGGAATGATTACAGAGATATAGGGTGTTCAAAAATCGAGATTTTTCAAATTTAAGTAGGATGTTTTTCTGTTGAAACTATTACTTATCGGTCAAAACGGCTTCCATGTTCCTATGTTAACTTATGGTTTACTATCTGCTGACATTTAATAATTGGAACAAATACAGGGCGATCAGAATTCTGAATCTTGAACCACCCTGTATTGTTCCAATTTGATGTCAGTAGATAGTAAATGAAAAGTTGGGATAGGGACATGTGAGTCGTTTTGACCAATAATGAATAGTTTACACACAAAAACATCCTAAAATTAAAAAATCTCGATTTTGAACAACCTATATCTCCGTAATTATGAACGTTAGACCCCAAGTGTGATATATTGATGAAATCAGCTCTTCAGAGAGAATCTAAAAATGCAATGGAATACAGGGTGTTCCATTTGAAAAAATCAACTAGTACCCTGTAGATCGTTTGTTCCGAGCACCCTGTATGTTCTGATATGTCAGAAAAAAAATCTGGAAAAATCATTCCAGATGATTTTTGAAATTTCGAAATCGGTTCGAAAATAAATGAGCTAAAGGGGGGGGACATTTATGGTGAATCACCCGGTACATCATATGGTTCAGTTTTGATTATGGAATTGAATATTTGAATACGGAGTTCTTAACTAACATGTAATCTACAGGGCAGGGTGAGTCAATATAGTGCGTTCTCCTTCGATATTAGCCAAACCGTCAGATATATACATATTTGAAAAAATTCGTATACCGGGTAACAAGGACTCATGGTATACCACCTTTTTCTCCTTTTGTTTTCTAGCTATGTTTCTGAAATTTGGAACATCGAATATGCTCACTAGAGGGCTTTATCTCACATTTTAGGAAATTTTTTTCATCTTTCAATTCTCCTGGAAATGAGAACAACTTTCGATTTTCAAATGGAACACCCTGTATTTCATTCCATAATCGGTTAAAGATTGTTATAACGAATTCAACAATATCGGGTTTGATTGGGTTATTTCAAACAATTACGGAGTTATTCACGTTTGAAGTTTCCATAAGAGCAATGGGTGTGACGGCGCAATATGGAAACTTCTATCTTTGTCACACTCATTGAGCTTATGGGAATTTCGAACGCGAATATTCTCGTAATCGTTCAAAATAACCCAATCTTACCCGGTATTGTTGAATTCGTTATAATAATCGCTAACCGAATATGAAATGAAATACAGGGTGTTCCATTTGAAAATCGAAAGTTGATCTCATTTCCAGGGGAATTGAAAGATGAAAAAAATTTCCTAAAATGTGAGATAAAGCCCTCTAGTGAGCATATTCGATGTTCCAAATTTCAGAAATATAGACAGAAAACCAAAGGAGAAAAGGTTGGTATACCATGTATCTGTGTCACGCGGTATAGGGTGTTCGAATTCCAAGATATTGGCTGATGATGTTTTTTTTTATGGGACACCCTGTATATTATTGCATTTTAGGTTCTCCCTGGAGAGCCGATTTCATCAATGCATCACTCTTGGAGACTAGACTAGCGGCATAGATTAAAAGGGAATGATTACAGATATATGAATAGGGGTGTTCAAAAACGAGATTTTTAAATTTTATGATTTTTTTAGGTCGAAAATATTCATTATTGGTTAAAACGGCTCATATGTTCCTATCTCAACTCTCGATTTACTATATCTATCTATACTGACATTAAATTGAAAGAGATATCTCTGATGTATCGATACATCATGGTATGATCCGAATCTCGAACCAACTGTATTTGTTGCAATTAAATGTTAGTAGATAGAAAATCAAAAGTTAAGATAAGGACATGTAAGCCGTTTTGACCAATAATAAATAGTTTCGACAAAAAAAAACAAAGTTGAAAAATCCCGATTTTGAACACCCTATTTATCTGTAATCATGTCCGCTAGACCCCAAGGTCCCCAAGTGTAATGTATCGATGAAATCAGCTCTTTAGGGAGAATCTAAAAATGCAATAATGTACAGGGGTGTCCTATTGAAAAAACCTCTTTCAGTTCTCTATAAACATCTCATAATTCGTTAGGTGAATGATCCTGCATATTTGAATATGTTCAAAATCACATTATCCACCGCCTCCTTCCAGATATACGTCGGTGAATCGAACACCTTGTATATTTTGCAACTATTTTTGATTATATTTTCGTGTTTTTATTTTTCAAATATACATGAAATATATGTACATGTATATTTTTTTACCGTTTTCGGAGATATTTATGAGGTATATATGTAATATATATAGAACTTCACATTTTCTCCAGATACCGGCCGGCCGGCGTACCTCAGTGCTTCGATGCTCAATATCGATTCACGTCGAGGTATCGATCGTGGGTTCGAGACCCACGAACGCAGACTTTTTCTGATGGCCTAAGAAAGTGTTTGGGATCACACGTTAAAAGGTAAGGCCCCCGTCATTCCTTGCTCGCACAAGACTTTCGAAGACTTCTGAGGGTTGCTCGTAAGGGGGCAACCGAATGACGGATAGAACAATTTTACAACAATTAGAACAACTCTCTGCGATGACCACGTCATTCTGACCATCTACCAATTTTGGATTTTCAAATGGAATAATACATTCTGTACATTATTCTATCACTGATTATGGGTTATACCATTACGATACCACAAATATATACTGACAATATATCAACTTACTTGCCATTATCACTAGTCCTATTATTAGTAATTAATTAAAGAAAAAATGTATTCAGATATTCAGTTTCTTCATTCATGATGTAAACTTAAATGCTTAAAGAATAATATTGTATTTTATGAATACCTATAATAGGTATAGGTATCCCAATTTCATTTTTTCATTTTATGGCCTCAATCTCCAAATCCTCATATCAGTATTCAAAGTGTTAGTTTTGTGTTATTTGACTTTTAATAACATGTGTTGTCAGCCGCGCGTCGCTATAGGTGATGGGCACAGTTGATGTTTGCCCGCGCCCGCGTCTCGCTTGGCGCGGTTCTCCCACTACGATGTTTATAGGAATACCTCCTTGCGCTAGACGCTAGTGCAGTGGTGGGATCATCGGGTTTGCTGATGATACCGCTATTCTATACAAAGCAGAAAATTGGGAAGACTTAAAAAAAAAGCTGAAACGGATTTCACCTTGATAAAAAATTGGCTAGATCACAGGTTACTTACATTGAATCTAGAGAAAACATGCTACTTACCATTTAGTTGTAATAAGTCCAACATTCCTTCATTCGATCGTTTAAAATTCAATATACATGGCGAAAATGTAGACATAAAACCTGAAACAAAAATAAAATATCTAGGAATATATATTGATATCCATTTGAGATGGGACCAACATTTAACATACGTTACAAGAAAATTACAAACTTTATTATACAAATTCAAATACCTCAAAAAAATCTTACCGGTGGCTCAACTCAAAACCCTGTACTTTGCCTTAGTTGAAAGTCACCTGCTTTATGGCATACTAGGATGGGGCGGTGCTGCAGATACTTACATAAACCCCCTAGAAGTGGTTCAAAGAAGGCTTCTCAAAATAATATTTTCGAAAGAACGAACATGTCCATCTGATGAACTGTATTCTGAAGCCAAGATATTCGATGTTAGACAACTATATTATTTCACGGCCAACTTGAAATATCATCAAAACAAACATATCGCACAACTTCCGACACATGACTACAATACACGACAAAACATCATTTCAAAGTGCCACAAATGTCAAAAACACTTTGCCAACGATCATTTTTATATATCGCTCCAAAAATTTATAATTCCCTACCTGAAAATATGAAAAATATTATATCTACTGCTCATTTTAAGCACGAACTGAAAACATACATCATCAATAACCCTAGAAACATTGTTAAACTTCAAATTTACTGAAAGTATTTTTGCTATCGTCAAGGTATTATCATTTTTAAATGTATATATTATTCTAGTAAATACTATATTATATTATCAATTCTATTTTATTTTTATTATTACTCACTGTATTTGTTTCACCCTCAAAACAAGTGTTAACTCACTTATTGAGTGCTCACATTTATTCATCAGCATATATTTATTATATTATCATGTATTTCTATGTTTGTTTTTCTATGTATCTCTATTTGTACTCATTATACATGAATAAATGTTATTATTATATTATTATTATTATTATTATTGTCAGTTCTGAAGGAGCAGTCAGTTGTGGTGTTCCACAGGGAACAGTTCTTGGACCAATTCTCTTTCTAATCTACTTGAATGGATTACTATCTCTGGAATCTCAAGGAAACATCATTTCCTTCGCATACGATACAATGATTCTATATGAATCACATTCGTGGAATTCAGTGAGAGATATTGCTCAGAATGATTTGCTGAAAATTATCAAGTGGTTTTCTGCAAACTTGTTGACTGTGAACATTGACAAAACGAAGATACTACCGTTCGGATCGTATAAAAAATATCTGCCAGAGTTTGAATCAATAAAAATTTGGAAATCAAGACGTGAAACTATGCAATTCAACCAAATATCTAGGGATATTTATGGATTGATTTCTCAAATAGGATATCCATCTTGAAAAACTAAAAAAAAACTAAGATCATTACTTTACAAATTTCACCAGTGTCGTGAAATACTTACTCTAAAGGAACTCAAAACAATTTATTACTCTCTAGTAGAATCACAACTCAACTATTGCTTATATTGTTCACGTTTCAGAATAAAATTTATTTACAAAATGTGCAGCACATGTACCCCACCCGTGGAAGAGTGGCACTGAATGTTACGATTCCTAGAGGAAACAAATCTATTGCTCGGAAGTCATTATTCTACATTGCTCCGAAAATTCACCATAGCTTACCAGGAGATATAAAAACAATAAATAATATAAGACTCCTCAAAAAAAGTCAAAACGTGGATGCTAAATCTGGGAAGGCTTTTTTCCATTAAATAATCGATCAATCTTGAATAATAATGGAAAAGGAAAAATATATCATTATATAGGTGCATATAATGAATTATTTCATTATTGATTCCATAAGATGTGAGATAGTATAGGTTAGTTTATTATATATACCAATTTTTCTTTTTTTTCTTCATCAACTGTTTACCAATGTTAATTACAGTATATGTGAATCTTCGCCAATCCATAGACAGGTTCTTGAAGAACCTACATGGAAAAGCATTCGCAATAATATCGCATGTTTCACACAAATGTACTAACCCTTGTTGTTGTTGCAAATAAATTTAGTATTATTATTAATATTATTTATTTATGAACTTGTAAAACTATTACATAGTTGAAATGCCCGCCTTGTGTACTATTCACCATTATTCTAAAGTATTTTATGAATCTGGACGAACCATAGTACGTGAAAAAAATATTACATTTTTTGTTATTTTCAGAAATCCAAGATCAGAAAGATTGACGATGGAAAAGAGCAACACAATCATCAGGAAATATCTCAGCATCCCAAGACAACGGGAGTAAAAGTAAGTTGCGTATCAGGGCTTCTAGTATAAACATTATTTCAAGTGAGGAAGTGATGAGAATACATAATTCAAATCTCAGTTTACTGAAACTACTTTTCGGAAATAATGTAAAAATTTTAATTTTTGATATATAAAAAAATAGCGCGACATCGCATGTGTCAATGTAATCCTGAGATCTTTACTTATCTGAGTACTTCAAATAAGATATATATTTTTATATTAGGTGCAATCCTCACTGGAACCATTGGAGTTCTGAATATCTATTCGCACATAGTGGACGGGGTATAAAATATTCTGTTCGTTTGAAAAAAATGGCAAACATCGGCTTTATCGACGATATTTTCAGTGAGCCAATGGAATTTTTTTCGAACTCCAAAACCCACTTTATTGTGTCAAGTTTGTACATCAAAATTTCTCATATAGTTTGAAGACAGTAGGATTCATAAAGAAAAAAACCGTTGTTTATGAAATAGATAGATTTATTGAACATGAAGAGGAACTAGAAACACATCACTCCTGTGATGAAATATGATAGGTAGGAACTGCTTATTTACCTTTATATTATCGATAACTCCTCCAGTTCTCTGAAAATCTCAACCTACATTGATAGTTTGTCATCTCTCTAATAGCTTCCATTCTTTACATTCAGCATTCATTCAAGCGTTGGTTACTCATGATATCATACTTGCTTATCCTGAATATATTCATTCCGGATTATAAATCCATTGTTATTGAATGAATAATACCACCTATGTGGCTAAAGAAGAATCTCTTAGCAAACACGAACAATAGAAAACACAGCTTTTCTATCTCAGGATTCTCAGAAAAAGTAGTTATTTAAAAAATTGGAAAAATCTACCTAAAACTATCCATATTAATAAATATTGATTCCACAAATGAGCTATTGTCATTTTTCAGTTATCCTGATACTCTTAGATTCCATCCAGAGCAGTCATAGTCCTGGTGGGTGATGTCACACTCTCCAACTCTTTGACCTCATTAGAATGAATATTTTCGACACAAAAAATGCTGAAGATGAAAAATCGAGATTTTGAACACCCTATATCCCTGAAATCATTTCAGCTAGACCCCAAGTGTGATGCATTGATGAAATCAGCTCTTCGCTAAAAATATAAAATGCAATGAAATACAAGGTGTTCCATTTGAAATAACAAAGTTGTTGCTTCTTTTCGTTAGAAGCGGCAACGCCGCAGGGCTGAAAATATTTTAGAACGATGCCCCCCTCGAAAATGTAGTTGACGTGTTTCAGATTTGTTTCATAATCCGATTTTGGCGACCTACAGAGCCTCTGTTTCGTTTTCGAAGGGCCACCCTGTATATGGAAATTATCAATTCTTCGATTAACATTTCCTATTATTCATGTTTTGGGATTTGCCAAAATTGAACCTACAACCTTCCCCTCCCCCTCCGTGAGTCGGCTTATTCGAACACTGGCAAATACAAAATTTACTTATTATCTCGAAAAAATTGAAAGCTTTCTACAATTAACTTCACAAACCATTTGAGTCTGATCCGAATTATATCTGAGTATGAACAATTTGACGCTTTCAACAAAATGGACGAAATATCAGAAATCTAAACTAAATATATATCACACCACACCAGTAATTCTGGGAGAAACATTAAACATTATCCTCCACAGTACAGGGTGGGCCAAATTCGATGGGATTTGGGGTTTTCTCTGAAACTATCAGTGCTGAACAAAAACCGACCACGGTGTCCTGAGCTTGATTTTCGTGAAAAAAACAATGGCGCAAACCGCGATTGTCTATCTTTTTTGGCTGCCGAACTACAGAGCGTTTTTGAGATTTTACCTTTTATTGGTGACGTCATTATCTCGATCAGCGTGAGTCCTGTCAAAAAATGAATAACACTTTCTCATAGCAATCTTTTGAGTTGAATTGGTAACTGATAAGAGCAAAATTATTCATCGAACAGTTTTCGAGATATGAACCTAATTTAATTTTTTCAAATGGGACACCCTGTAAATTATTCCACCATTCGATCATAATTTCAATTACCTTTCGAACGATATATCATATGCTATAGTTACTTTGGGAACAAGTGGTTGTTTTTCGAAAAATCTGATATGAGTCCATGAAAAACTGAAGAAAAATATAATAACTAACTAGCTTTATCAAATTCACAAATATTCACGTTTATTTGATAATTATCATTCAAAACTGTGAGAAAGTTCAAAATATTTAGTTCAACTGAGGTGCGAATTGTTTCCTATTGTCGTCTTCCAATTGCATTTCATTATGTTCCTTATACTTTTCAAGAAGGCCATGGAGAAATGACAACCATAATCCATTAATTATTATTGTCAACTGTGACGCTTATTCACAAAAAATGGTTCAATTTAGTAATGACTGTGGTAATGAAGAGAAATATGATATGCTCAAGTGTTTTATCGAAAGTGGAGAAGATGAAAACTTAGCTTCTGAACTTTATTTCAAGAGGTGAGTGATAGAATAATCGACAGTGAAACAGTTGTCCAAAATTAACAGTCAAATCATCTTATAGATGCCAAGAGAAAATACAACCAAACCCAAAAATATTCAAAAGGTTACAGTCAAATTTGAAAGATTTTGGATCTTTTGTCAAACCTCGCCCAAAAATTTATTATAAACCAGAAAGAGAAGCTGCACAAAATATAATCGTAGAAACTGTCAGAGATAATCCTAATATATCATCTGGGTATCTATAAGATGATTTGACTGTTAATTTTGGACAACCGTTTCACTGTCGATTATTCTATCACTCACCTATTGAAATAAAGTTCAGAAGCTAAGTAGTTTTCATCTTCTCCACTTTCGATAAAACACTTGAGCATATCATATTTCTCTTCATTACTAAATTGAACCATTTTTTGTGAATAAGCGTCACAGTTGACAATAATAATTAATGGATTATGGTTGTCATTTCTCCATGGCCTTCTTGAGAAGTATAAGGAACATAATGAAATGCAATTGGAAGACGACAATAGGAAACAATTCGCACCACAGTTGAACTAAATATTTTGAACTTTCTCACAGTTTTGAATGATAATTATCAAATAAACGTGAATATTTGTGAATTTGATAAAGCTAGTTAGTTATTATATTTTTCTTCAGTTTTTCATGGACTCATATCAGATTTTTCGAAAAACAACCACTTGTTCCCAAAGTAACTATAGCATATGATATATCGTTCGAAAGGTAATTGAAATTATGATCGAATGGTGAAATAATTTACAGGGTGTCCCATTTGAAAAAATTAAATTAGGTTCATATCTCGAAAACTGTTCGATGAATAATTTTGCTCTTATCAGTTACCAATTCAACTCAAAAGATTGCTATGAGAGAGTATTATTCATTTTTTGACAGGACTCACGGTGATCGAGATAATGACGTCACCAATAAAAGGTAAAATCTCAAAAACGCTCTGTAGTTCGGCAGCCAAAAAAGATAGACAATCGCGGTTTGCGCCATTGTTTTTTTCACTAAAATCAAGCTCAGGACACCGTGGTCGGTTTTTGTTTAGCACTGATAGTTTCAGAGAAAACCCCAAATCCCATCGAATTTGGCCCACCCTGTACACAAACATTATTTGATTGGCTAATGATTGCCAGGAGGATAATTTCCATCTCATAACTAAATTGCAGTCATGAGCATTATTTGCAACTCCCCACGGCCTAGAATCATTTCTATCGAATTATGAATAGTACTGCATTTGAAAAAGCCTGAAGTAGTCCAGAAAACATTATTTTTTGGCCGACTGCCTCGAAAGATATTTTTAACACCTAGTTCACTGTTAAGTCTATAATATAAAAATAACAAAACTCACATTTTCTTAATTTTCAGGGGGTTAAACCGAACCGTTCTAATAAAAATGTACCCGATACATTAGATCCCTCCAAGATAGCAGTGACCAATGTAAGTAAGTTTTATAAGCATGATATTCATTTGAATGTCGTACCTAAGAACTGTAATTTTTTTTTGATAACCTGATAACTAAATGAAAATTATGAGCACTGACTCCTGGTATTTCAATCCCCAAATTCTGCACTTGATAAATAGTTAATTGCACAATATGTAATATTATATTTTCTAGTGGGAAAATACCGAAACAATGGAAATAATCTCTTGTAACCCCCATTTATATATCAACCGAATATAATGTCCTGAGCAATTATCGACCGATTTCTGTGATTAATAATATCGCTAACATTTTTGAACAAAGCATTAAAACAAGACTAACTGCATTCTTCGATAAACACAATGTGATAACAGATAGACAATTCGGCTCCAGAAGTAATTCAAATACAGAAAAATCAAAATTAGATTTTATTGAAGAAACTGTCGATGCTTTGGATAAGTCAGGAAGATGCTTAGATATCTTTCTAGACCTTGCCAAGGCATTTGACACGGTGTCCCATGATATTTTACTGAAAAAATTCGAGAATTACGGTGTAAGAGGTAACACATACAATTTGATGCGAAATTATATATCACATAGGTCGAAAGTGGTCAAAGTTGAGAACTGTCTGAGTGAACCTATTCATGTTAAAATCGGTGTGCCGCAGGGAACAGTTTTGGGCCCAATACTTTTTCTTGTTTATATCAATAGTATCACCTCAATAAACAACTTCGAAGGAAATATAATCTCATATACTGATGATACAGCCATTGTTTATGGGGGAAACTCATGGCTACAACTACAAGCTGAGTCGGAAACAGATCTTGGTAAACTACAAATCTGGCACAACCACAATCTATTGATCCTCAATGTTAAAAAAACTAAATTTATATTATTTTCTATCTATAAAACGGAGCAACCTCCTTACAACTCACTAATAATACATGGTTGATAACATACACCCATGTAATTGCCCTTATATGTATAGAGAAAACCTCAAGTATCATACCTTATTATAATACTCGATCAGCATCTAAGGATGATCATGTTCAAATTACACAGCATCAAAGGGATCTTGAGTAAAAAAAACTTGATGATACTATATGATTCATTAGCCGAATCAGTTATTAGATAGTGCATTACAGCGTAGGAAGGATTATTCAGTAATATGATAATGAAATTACAATCAATTCAGAATACATTACTGAAAATAAAACATGAAAAAAATATTTTCTACTGAACAGCTCTATGAAGAAATTCAAATATTAAAATATAAGAAGCTTTCATGTCCACCAATGTTTGATTTGGATGTTTCACAATAAAAACAAATATGACTCCCGAATTGAAACACAGCAGATTTGTCGAAAATAATTTAATTGTCTTACCAATATTTAAGAAAATGCATACACAAAGATTTTTTTATGTACCAAAACTACATAATTTGTTACCAAATCATATCAAAATCACTAACAGTTCGTCAAAATACAAAATTTCAATCAAACAAGTCATATTAGAGCATAAGATTGAAAATATATTGAAAATCATCTAATAATAAATGCACCCTAAAAAACTGAATGAACAAGAATTAAAAAAAAATAATTGCTGAAATCTCTAGCTTCCTTTTCTCACAATAAATCCTAGCATATCCATATTTCTTACACCTCTCGCGTTCGCTATAGATTAATAAAGTTGTCGTTTCTTTATCATTCAACTTTTTAATCTTTATTCTTGAATCTTGAGCAGTACCTCTTAGTCATATTTTCGAATCCTCCTTTTACTCTTCTTGCCTCCCTTCTGCCTGGCGACTTGCGTCTGTTACCCCCATTTATAAAAAAGGAGATAAACTTGACCCTGGTAACTACAGACCAATAAGTCTAGTATCCTTGTGTGCTAAAAATCATGGAACGAATAATTGTAGATGTCCTACTACCTTTTCTGCTCGAGAACGACGAGATTCCACCCACCCAACATGGCTTTATACCAGGAAGATCAACAACAACTAACTTGCTCTATTGCTTGGATAAATGGACCAAATCAATGGACTCCGCATCACCCATTGATAGAAAGAATAGAATAGAATAGAATACTTTATTTAACCACATTACGTACACTGTACATTTGTAGCAGGTCAAGGAGTTTGAACTATAAAAAAATAGAACTGTAAATAAATATTATATACCTCAACTTTTCCAAAGCGTTCGACAAGGTACCACGGAATAAGCTATTGCACAAACTTGAACATTTTGGTGTCAGAGGAAAACTCCATAACTGGATAGCTGCATTTCTCTCTGACAGGGTTTTTAGAGTGAGAGTGGGTACCAATCACTCTAGTACTCATGATGTTACGTCTGGAGTACCCCAGGGATCGGTCTTGGGTCCAACATTATTTTTGGCATACGCATCAGATTTACATACCGCTCTAAGGTCCGACCATGCATTTTTCGCAGACGACAGCAAATTTTTCGGCAACCCACTATCCAGTTTCGATGAACTACAACCTGATCTGTTACAAAACTGGTGCGGCATGTGGGACATTCCTCTGAATATCGACAAGTGCTCTATTCTACATGTTGGCCCCACTAACCCAAAACTAGACTACTACCTAGGTAATAAAACCATTCCTGCAGTGGAGAACCATAACGATCTAGGAGTCATTTTCAACAAGAAACTAACTGTGTCCAATCAAGTAGCAGCAGCTGTCCGTAAGGCAAACAGTCGCACATACCTCCTTAACAAATGCTTTGACCAACCTGAACCAAGCCTCTTCAATAAGCTTTATAAAGCATATGTTCGCCCACACCTTGAATATGCGGTGCAGATATGGAATCCTCATCTGGTGAAAGACATTCAACTTCTGGAAAGAGCCCAACGCAATGCAACACGAATGGTTAGAAGTTTCAGGGATCTTTCCTATGAACAACGGCTATCTCGGCTAAGGCTTCCTTTGCTGAGTGATAGACGAGCTACAGGAGACGCTATTCTGACGTATAGAATTCTGCACGATGATAGATTGAGAGGCCATACTATGAAGTTGAAGCAAGAACATTTTCGAACCACACTCAGACAAAAATTTCTGTCAAATCGAGTATTTTCAAAGTGGAATGCACTACCTCGTGATGTTGTGTCAGCTCCCAGTGTGAATAGTTTCAAAAACCGCTACGACTTGGTGCAATTGCAATTTCAACAATTACAGTGATTACTTTATTAGGTATCAAAAGTGTATCATTAGAAATGTATTGGACTTGACACATTAATAGTTGTAACTAATTTTAAGCTTAAGTATCTATTGGGCAAAATAGGCTATGCCTCTGCCCTTGTTATAATATAATAATAATAATAATAATAATAATAGTAATAATTGGCCAATTTCATGATCTGTTCGCTTATATCAAATTCATCAATAGCCCACTCGTAATGCTACGATACAAGCATCTCGATTGCTTAGGTGGAAATTTTCTGCAACTTGATGAATCTGAATCTTGATTATTTAACAAAATAATTGTATACTTTGATTTTCTGTACCTTCTTTCCTATAATACGGTAGCGTGTTATACATTGCTATGAAGAAAGATCATAATACTGTAGTCATGATGACTGATTTTTTTGTCTTATTTTCATCGCCTACTACATTTGAAAATGTAGGCGGTTCAATAAGCAGTAGTGCCAGCAAAAAATGGTTTCATGTGATGATATTGATATGTTATACATGGCTGTGAATTGAATTTTTAGCCCTATTCAATGGAATAAAAAGCAACATTAAACTTTTTTTTCCTCAAATAATAAATAACAAAATCAATAAAAACAAAATTATTTGATCCGCTTTCTATTTCTCAACGTTCAGGAAATTGAAATAATGTTCATTTTACTTGACTATTTGGGATTTTCTCTCGTTTTTACAAAATAAAAATTGCCACAATTTAACAAATTTTTAGTTCCCAAAAACAAAAGTCGTTGGAGGCTTCGTTTGTGAGATTCAGGCTGTTGAAGTTGAAAATATTTATCTGATGGCATGTCATAATGACAACGTTATGTCACTCAATTTTGATGACATAAGGAAGCTCATTATGGTACTAATAAGTACCATAATGAAATTCTATAAGGAAAACATGTAATGGTTTGATCAAAAAAGTTTATTCAAAATGCATAACTATGTACAAAACTATTTATTATAAATGGTAAAAGAACAATTACTACAATTTGTAATATTAATATAATGGCAAAGCACAGCTCACTCACCTACTAATATTTGAAACTACACAATACTTACTCCTTTAAAAATAGTTGTCATTGTGACATGTCGAAAATGCAGTTTTTAATTTTTCGAAAATGTATTGATATAAATGCCATCAGATAAAATTTTGTATGTAATACGAATCATAAACAATCATTATGGCACACGCCGTGTTATCGGACTCGGCTACGCCTCGCCCGATAACATTCCCGACTTGTACCATAATGATCGTCTTTATGATCCTTATTACATAAATAACTATTATAGAATTTTTTATGTCCACCCTGTATCGTGGTGACAAAATGTAGTCTGTTATGTGACTGACATTGTGCCACATTTTCAGAATGATATCTATCATGGTGATAGAGTAATCTGAACAGATATCTTGAATGGACTATCCGACATCGTCGGATATCTTCTTCAAATTTTGGAGTTGAATTTGGTTATTCGGTTTTTCTCGAAAACAGTGTATCTTTACGAGTTTCAACACTTGGTGTTTTTTTTACAAAAGTGTATCCTTTTTCATATCTTCGAATAATTTCAAAAAGTTTCATCACCACCCATGTTTTTTCTGAAAAATCACACATCAATACCCCTCAACGGTGCCACTGGGAGTCAGATTGACTAAATAATGATACCCATTCAATCACTCTCAGATACTGAGTTACAGTGTTGCCAACTTAGTGGATTTCACACTAGAACTGGTGGTTTGAGTTCTCGTTTTGTTAGAAAATATGGCATCTAGTGGATGGTGTTTAATTTGGTGGATTTTCTCAAATAAATGGTGAAATCTGGTGGTTGAAACCGCATCCGAAATGTCCTTTGTTTGATATGATATTTTGAACTTAACAATGTAATAATAGAGAAAAGTTCTAATAGAAGAACTAGTTTTAACTGAAATTAATTTTTTACGATTATGTCCAATTTTGACTATTCGATCTCAAATGTTGCTTTCTACTATTTGTTTTTTTATGTATTATAATATATACTTGAGTATGTCATTGATGCTATGAATAATTAATTTTGTTCGTTTTGTTTCCTGTCAGAGAAAAATTTTTTTCCTTGATCTGGTGTTATCTAGTGGTCTGGACTGAAGTTGAAACCACCAGAAAATCACTAGATTTGCAAAAAATTTCGCCTGCGGCGCATTTTTGTTCAATACCTGGTTTGGTGGTTTTTTAGGTGGCCAATTTGCGACTTTTGGATATCTGAGTTGGCAACACAGCTGAGTTATACACTAGAACAGTTGTGGGCAAACTTTTTTAATGGGGGTCTAGAAAGTTTGAGAAATTTCAGAGGAGGGCCAGAGTTATAGGAAAAATGCATTTTGCGTTGAAACATTTAATCGTATAAAAACATTACAGCAATACACACTTGCACAAATGTTAAAAGTTGCAATTTAACTTTTATTCGAAGGCCCTGCCATGGTAGGCGTGTGAGACATATGAAATTGATTTCGATTTGACATAATATTTTCGAAGCTGTGATGAAGTAACTTTCAGCAGCGCGAAAAGGTGTTCATCAGTACCTAAGTCGGTTTCGAATTGAGTTTTTCTTCAATTTCATGGTCGAAAAAGTCTGTTCGCACACATACAACGATGCGAACATGGCCATAATTTTCTGGGCGTGAGCAATAATATTTGGGGATTCAGCTTTTGGCGTACTTTGCCCACCACTGCACTAGAATATTAAAACTGTTTGTTTAGCGGTTATCTAGAAACTCATTGAACAGTTTTTTTTTCAACTTTAACATCCTGTATCTCGCGAACGAAGCCTTCTACGACTTCTGTTTATGAGAACTTTTTCATTTTCTTGTTTGTGATTCTTAATCGTGATCCGTCTTTAGTTTTCAAACCCCAATAATCAATCTACATATTGAAATTTTTGTCATTCATTTTGTCGGTGTTTGAAGCAGACACACTATACAGGGTGTCGCAGAACTTAGACTGACTTTGTAGCAAAACAACTGACCGATGCATGAAAGCTCATCGAAGAAACTCATATTGGTCAGTCACCAAAATTTGGTTGATTTTCAATATGATTTTGAACGAAAAGTTATCAAAGAAAAACATTTTTCATTTTGTAACTCTCTGGGCCTGTGACTTAGTAGGTATTGAGGATTTTGGAATAAACAAGTTATATGATGTACTGGTGATAAATGACCCCCTTCATACATTCCCAAGAGGAAAAGAGGAAGTCCAGGGAGTGTTGTATAACGTGGAAATTGAATGGAGTGTAAAGTTTGCATATATTCTCACAATTTTTTGTATATTATTAATTATTATAATTATATTTCAGAGATACTCGGATAAAGAAAATAAAGTGAGAAGTACTCAGACTGGTCATGTATTAGCTTCTCAAGATACTCCAGATCCTTCATCTATTTCTTATGATGCTATGGACCTGACCAACTTTTTAGTTTCCACTAGCAAAACTTTTCAACTAATGTGCGATGAGTTGCGAGTATCCACGATTCTGAACAATAATATCGTAAGTTGATCTAAGTTATTTCAATATTCTCTAGAATATCTAATAACAATATATATTTACAATAATTATTATATGTTAACATACACAGGGTGTTTCACGAAAATGTAGAACACTGCAAAATGAGCTGGGTTTGCCCAGTAAAAAAATGTCGACATCGGTTATCAAGATACAAGGTGTTGGAAAAATATTTGTTTACACATTTTCCATGATTATGTCGAAACTACTGGCAACATTGTGATGACATTTTGTATGGATGTGTTTTGGAAGCTGATACATCATATGAATTTGTTTTTATATCTTACTCTCACAGAGGGCGCTAGTTACATGGTTTTAAACAAAACTTTTTTGAGGTTGTATTTTTGTATTCCAAATTTGATGTTGACTTGAACAATATTCACACCAAAAAGGTACTCATGTTTTAACTTGATACCGTGTATCATTTTCGAAATATTTTGATTTGAAAATGATGAAGTGGTACATGTTGATGTTATAAAGCTATGTATTAGAGTAAGTGTGCTGAACCAATACTAAACTTATTAATTGAATAATGAATCACAAGAATTACATTGAAATGAACTTGACTAATAACATGGATCACAAGGTTTGATTGTATCATAAGGAAAAAGTCTACACTATAGAGGTAAATCGTTACCGATACTAACAAGGCCTGAAGGCTTGTAGTGAACAGCTCGTGACGTCAGCTAACTGAGGCCGTCCATCCTTCGCGTGATTGTTCGCGTGTCGACTCACCAGTCTCACCACCGTCGTCAGTTTGTTTAGGTATGTTTGAGAAGCGGTCGCATGCCCGAATTCATTAAAATAATTGGCTGGAAAATTACTGTTTTATGAAATATGTTGTGTTCTGATAGGCGAAATAACAATGCCTTTCAAGTGTTGTGTTCCCTTTTGTCGGGGGAATTATGTGGGTAGTCCAAAAGTGAATGCTTTTAGTTTCCCGTTGGACAAGGAACTATCGAAAAAGTTGGTATATGCAATTCACCGCGATTTTACTCCATCTAAGTACAGTAGAGTATGTGAATTACATTTTACACAACCCCCCCCTCCTCAAGGGCAAACGTTTGAATGATGTGTTTCAAGAACCTATCATAGCTATAAATTTTTGTTCCGATGAAAAATTCATTTTCTTGCATAAAATGATAGATTGGTTAGAAACTTGGAAATCTAAACTAACAAACGAAACACATACTGCTTTGATTCACACTATATATGAAATGACAGAAGTTATACAATATTGTTTCAACGAACTCAAGATGAATTATGTTTTACTAGGAAAATTTCAAACAGATGATTCGGATCATAGGTTCGGGAAATATCGTCAACTTTCAGGTCAAATATCTATTCGACAATTATTGTATGAATCGGAAAATAGGCTTAGAATTCAATCACTGCTCACGCTAAAATCTCGTACTTACTGTAATATACAAATCAGGCGCTTCCACAAAAAATTGATTTCACCGAAGAAATCCAAGAAAATCATTCTTTCAATCCAGATATCATAGTCGAGGAATCTAATCTATATTAGAAATATAGTGATCACATGCCGGTAATAACCTATTTAGCAAGTTATTGTGGCTATATTACACTTAGAAAAATTCAGTACGAATTTTGTAAACAGAACTCAATTTATAATGATGAATGAATAATAGAAGACAATTATTCTCTCATAAAAAGTATGAGTAGAGGAAAATTACTCTATCCACAAGCGTTGATTGTGCAGTTAGTTTCGTATTCGTATATTATATTTAACAAAATCATCTCTCAATTCGAGGAAATATTCATGAATGTTCATGATAAACGGGCATTTTTAACTCAATACATTCTCAAATTTCTTTCTGAAAACGGTCATTTGCCTCGTGGCAATGAATGCAGAAATCATTCCAATGATCAAATCGCAACTATCATATCAACATGTACTACAGACACTCTACTTAAAAATTACTGTTTCAAGTTTAACGATCAATTGGGTAAAAAATCCAACAACAGGCTGTTAGGCCTCACTAAGGTGACGTCACCACGGAGCCTGCAAGCCTTGTTATATAGGGGGTAACGGGTAAATTCACTTCAAGAGTTGCAAGATGAAATTGAACATCATTTTGAATGGCGTAGCGGCTGATTCTCAATCATTCAAAAAAGTAATGCATTCTTGAGAAAAAAAAAGATAGAATCGTGTATTCGTGGAAACAGAGGGCATTTTGAACTCCTATTCTAACTGATTCAATATTCCATGTGAAATTGTTCTCATTTTTTTACATGTGATTTTTCGTTCAATCAATAACTTCAGCACAAAAAATATTGTTATTGTTTTTTAATTTGAATGAAAAGGTAATAATTGATCTCGATAATACTCATTTTATGCCTGCATCAAATATTACTCCATTATTTTCAAACCAAAATATTCCGAAAATGGTTCACAGTATTGAGTTATATCAAGAGAACCCTCTCGCTGTTAAATTGAATGATGTTCGAGTTCACATGAAATTTGGACTAAGACAAACTAAGCTCAAAAAAGTTATGTTTAAAATTACTCGGTACGAACCGTGTAATTATCGCGCCCTCTATGAGAGTCAGTTATAAAAAAAATCATGCGATGTGTCAGCTCCCAGAACATATCCATACAAAATTGTATAACAATGTTGCCAGTGGTAATTTACATAATCGTGGAAAATGTCTAGAAAAATATTTTTTTCAACACCTATCTTGAAAACGAATCTCGTTACGACATTTTTTTACTGAGCAAACCCAACTTATTTTGCAGTGTTCTACCTACCCTAGCAAAGAAGTCAGCTTTTCATGAAACACCCTGTATATGAATTATTTTTCAGAACTATGTGAACGCCTGTAAAGAACGCATCACATTAGAAACACCAGCTGAAGAAGGTGGGCAGTCTTTTGAGATATTGATAGTAAATAATACGCCTGACGATACAGCTCCTTCTTTGATAGACACTGCAACAGAGCTGGAGAATATGGTGAAAGAAATGGAAACCATGTTGTCGGAAAGTGTAAGTTTGATTTATACATTATACTACCTTTACAATAATTCTCAACCTGAAAAATCAGTGTTCGTTGTGGCAATCAGATCGACGTCAGTTTTTTGCTCACAAAATGACGAACTGAACGTTTTAAAATGGCATCTGTGAGAACCCATAGATATGTTAAAATGTTACAAACTTAAAATTTCGAAAATTCTTTGGATATACGTAATATACGAGTATAGGTATAAATAATACCATAGGCGATATAGACTTTTTTGCAATAAGCATCATTAGCATCATAATATGTGGACTCCTATCGCTTAGAACATAACCTGAATCGGAAATTCCTACTGGCTTACTGTGAGCTCCTTGATGAGCTAGCTGGAACGTTACCTGAACAAGACATTCTTACTGTGAATTTTCCTAATGGTATGATGAACGTAACGCGTGAGCAAGACATTCTTACTGCGAGTTCCTACAGTTATCCCGAACGTAACCTGAATCAGAAATTCTTATTACGAGTTCTTCATGTCATTCACGAACAAAAAATGCCTACTGCTAGTTCACCTAAATTAAATGCTACAATTTCCTCGAAAGTGCAAAAAATGTGGTTGTTTGTTTCGAGCAGAGCTCTCAGAAATAAGATCCACTGGCAGAATTGAATAGATCGCTTAAGTCATGGAATATATATAATATACCTACTGTTTCCATACTACTAGTGGATAAGTTAAACATATTTATCTTTTCTAAAATGCTCGGAAATTGATTCTGATTTAAAATTTCTGACAGATCAAGCGACATTCAATGACAAAAAGACCTATTTTTATAACTGTAAAACTCTTGTCAATGGGATATTCTATTATTTAAGTCAGTCGAAAAAAGCTATATTTCAAGGTCCGAATTATTTCGGACCACCCACGATACTAATTTCATGCCAGATACCGGTCATGGCGAAGAGACATCAGGAGTACCTACAATAATTCTTCAAAAGAATTTTGTGGAAATCTGATCGATTGTAAATACGATACAGCACGGCATGGACTTGATATGTGTTTTATCATTAACTTATATGAGTTATTTCCTATAGTGTATTGCTAATGTGGTCAATAATACTAATACTCTTAGATTAATTCTGTCGCTTTTTATAACATTATGAATTGTTACTTGAAAAAGTACACAACAGAGGCATATTACTAGGCGGTAATACTCGACAGACGACATTGACTGATTCATTGACATTCACGACAAAACAAAATGATAAGTGACATAAAATTGAACATGAAGATATCCACAGATATCACAGATACCTGATAGAACAATATGGACTACATGCGGTCTTGTGTATCCCATTCACCGAGGTAAAACCTACTATCTAGACCGCAACCCGATAATCTCGGGTAAATTGCTGGCCTGAAAATGTTTCTGCTCAATGCGCATGAACCCCCAAACTGTCATTCATGACAGCAAGTAATGTGTGTTGGTGTTCGAAATCATGAGTAAGAATAATTAAGCGCATAATACATATGTTCTCCAGTTCGATCCCGTGAGTGGCTTACATTCTAACTTGGTAGTTAGCGGTTTAATAGTAATCTATGTTAGTGGGCTGCAAATTCTAAGTATCCCAATTATCATTCATGACATCGACTTATGTCACTTGTTGTTCAATTTCAACCGTCATCTGATAACGAAATGATATATGTCCAAAGGCATGTGGAACCATAGTATCTCATCGAACGGCACCTGTGCCAATCACTATCCTGAGCAAAATGATTGAAACATAACACTTTCCTGTGCGGAAATTTGCACTCGATTTCGCGATTTGATAACGAGATGAAAATTATGCCATTCGATACCAATTGAATGGTACATTTCAGAAACCTACCTGTGCCACCCCTCAGTCTGAGCCAAATCAAATTCAAATTCAAAATTACTTTATTGTCTCAAGAATGGTAGTTCTTATTGACAAAGTGTTAGGGTGAAAAACAACAAACATATCATTTGAACATTCAGGCCACATAGGGAAGACTACGCGATATATACATAAATACACATGAAATTCATCACATACATTTGTAGTGCAGACCACTACACGTCAATTTTACAAGGTCAGACGGCAATGAAATCTAAAAACATAAGTACATGATATATCTTAAAACCTTATAAAATCAAGACAGACAATAATCTAAAACCTACGATATTTAAAAAACATACAATATGCATTCATATATATAAATATATAAAAGAACAATACAAAAGTATGGTAAAATGAGAAAAGGCAAGTTAACAATACGATTAAGTAGAATGACATAAAATGGAATCTAAAATTTTTCCAAATAGAATTCGTCCAGTGAATAGAATGCTTTGTCTAGCAAAAAATTTGTGGTAAAGTTAAATCAGAAGCTTGTCTAGTCATATATTGTGGAGTTGATTGCACTCCTCTAAACTTACTCTGGATAAGGCATACTGTTTCCAATATATAGATGCATGGTAGTGGTAAGATTCTTTATGCTATAAATAAAGGCTTACACGAATCCCTGAATTTGGCTTTGCACATGTATCTCAATGCCCTTTTCTGCAATACAAAAATCGTGTCGAATAGAACTCTACTACAAGATCCCCAAAAGCAAATCCCGTATCTGAGATGAGAATCGATTACAGCAAAGTAAACCTGTTTGGCCATGTCCCTACCAAGTTCCCATGAGGTGGTTTTCACTGCAAAACATCCAGATGCTATTTTTTTTCCCAGTATCTTTATATGATCTTCAAATTTCAACTTGTCATCAATGTATAAGCCTAGAAATTTAGTTGCTCTCTTACTACTAATTTCTTGATTACCCATATAAAGTTGTGGCAGATGACATTTAAAAGAGATTATATTAGTTTTTGATATGTTCAGAGAGAGCATATTTGCATCACACCACGCTTTTACCTTGATAACATCATTATTAATTTGTTCGTGAAGATCCATGTCATTTTCATTATGCCATAGTAATGTGGTATCGTCTGCAAATTGAGTAAATTTTCCCGTGATATTTATAGAAGCTAGGTCATTGATATATATCAAGAAAAGCATTGGACCGAGCACCGATCCTTGCGGTACTCCCCATTTTATCCATTTTTTTTGAAAATTTGTTCTGGAGAGATACGCTTTGAGTCCGACCCAATAAGTACTCCTCAAACCATTTCAGAACTACATTTCTGAAGCCGTACCTTTCTAATTTATTGAGCAGAATCTTATGGTTGACACAGTCAAAAGCTTTAGTTAGATCACAAAAAACAGCAGCCGTAATATCACCATCATTGAGATTGAAATATACATCTTGCAGTAGGTTAAAAATAGCATCACTTGTTCCTTTTGCACTTTGGAACCCGAATTGAAAGGAATTTATAATTTTGTGCTTTGCCAAAAATGCCGTCACTCTGTTTTTCACCAGTTTCTCAATTAATTTAGAGAGGGTAGGTAGCAATGAGATTGGTCTATAATTGGCCGGATTTTCCATATCCCGACCTTTATGTAGAGGAATCACCACCGCATTTTTTAGACATTTTGGAAATACTCCTGATGAGAATGAAAAATTGATAGCTTCAACCAGGCTCATAAGAGCACAGTCAGGTAAGTGAGAAAATATTTTTGTGGATATATCATCATATCCAGATGAATTTTTATTTTTTACTTCATGAATTGTTCTTTTCAATTCTTCAATGTCCGTTGGCATGAAGAAAAAGGATTCAGATACAGTAATATTCTTTAGATAATCCAAGGGGTCCGTTGTAGGGTGGATTTCTTTGGATATCTTTTCTGCTATAGAGCAATAGTATTCATTAATATCGCCACAATTTAGATTTGTTTCCATAGGGACGGTATATTTTTTACCCCTCAACTCATTAATCATTGACCAACTCTCCCTCAGCCTATTACCTGAATTATCTATCTTTTGTCTATAATACAATTGCTTTGCCGCTCTCAGAGTTCCTCTATAAATTTTCCGATACTTAGAATAAAATGAGACGAATCCTACATTATCCATAGCATACTTTTTAATCAAATGTAAGCTTCTCATATTTTTAGCAGATACTTTCAAACCTTTCGTTATCCAAGGTTTTCCCGGTTTACTCTTGATCTCCTTGAGAGGAAACGCAGTATTGAAAATATCGGACATCATCGAATGGAATTTAGTTAATGGGTCATTACATTCCAGTGTTACCTCATTCCAGTTATTGGCATTACAAAGTTGTTGAAATTTATTGAAATTCAGTTTGATGTATATTCTCCCTATAATCTTTTTTTTACCAGAGGATTTTGAGTCAATTGGGACATGGCACAAAACAGCTTCGTGGTCTGAAAGACCAGAATTGATTACCTCACATTCATTTTCATCCATGTTGGAACACACGTAGTCAATAATTGAATCAGATGCTTTTGAGTATCTCGTCGGGGAGTTTACATGCATTACTAGATTGAAGCTGTTTAATAAATTTTCTAATGATTGAGTAGATTTTGAAGTTTTATCCCCGAAATCTATATTGAAATCACCAGTAAGTATCACAGATGCATTGTGGGGTAAATTCCATAATAATATCTCTAACCTTTCTAAAAACAGTTTCTCACTGTACAGTGGAGATCTGTACAAGCAGAAAACGAATAACTTAATATTTTTACAATTAATGCCAGAAAACTCAAACTCATTTTCGACCAACATATGATCATAATTTGTTGATTTTGTGAAATTATACTTATCAATGAAATCTCTATGCATGAGAATCAGAGTACCCCCATGTTTGGAGTTCAACCTAGAGTATTTTGTAATTAATATATAGTTAGTTACATAAAAGTGTTCATCTAATTCTAACCAATGCTCAGTTAACAATACTATATTGGGAAAATTTTGGCTGTCTAGAAATGCAAAGAGTTCATCAGACTTGTTTCTTGCTGACTGAATGTTTAAAAGTATTAATCCACGCCACAACGATCTATTTGCTGCTATTATTCCGGATATACTTCCGCCATGTGATAACGAGTAGAAACAAGAAGCAAATGAAAGGGGATGATGTCGCCTTTGTGAATATCCAAACGTACCGCGATTCAAACTGATCTAAGTTAGTGGCAGAGCGTCAATACTTTCGAGAATATTTCGCCCCTCTCTGAAGATGATATCCGATGGACCAGTGTAAAACTCAACATGTGGATTAGAGTACTTGTAGTGTGAGCAGCACATGAGTTTCACACTGCTCCATCGGATATTATCTTTCGATAAAAAAAGGGAATATTTTTTTCCCGTTCATTTGCTCTTTGTTTCAACTCGTTATCACGTGACGGAAGTATGTCCGTAATAATAGGAGCAAATAAGTCGCTGTGCCGTGGATTTGCCTCAGACTGATGAGGGGTGGCACAGGTAGGTTATTGAGATCTACCATTCAATTGGTATTATATCTTTATCAAATCACGAAATCGAGTGCAAATTTCCGCACAGGAAAGTGAAATTTTTCAATCATCTTGCTCAAGATAGGGATTGGCACAGGTGCCGTTCGATGAAGTACAATGTTTTTACTTTCCTTTGGAACATATATCATTTCGATATCAGATGACTGTAAAAATCTGCAGCCGGTTCTTCTACAATAAGGGTAAGCAAAGTATGAAGGGTTCAAAGCTGAAGGGAACCAAGTCCATCTTTGGTAGATTTGAGATATAGATAAGATTTTTTTGAATCAGGGACTTGGACCAATCGTAACTTGAACGTTAGTGCCATCATTGAATAAAAATGGAACAATATCAGTTGACTTTTCTATTGAAGATTCTATGAATATTGAAAAGCAATGCTCAACCTGAAACAACTTTATTGTTGCACTGAAGTATGTCCCTTACTACCTAAAATAGAGTCTTGAATGATTCCTAGGGACTATAATGAACCGTTATCTCTAACTAAATGCTTCCCAAATCAAATTGAATCATTGATGGGTTACCTAATTTTAGTTACAATTGAAGGTACAGTAAAAATATTGCATATACCGGGGGACTATTCTAAACGCAACCTATGAATACTGACGAGGGTTCACTTGTGAAGGCAGTGTGCCAAATTTGAAAAAGATTCGAGAATCCCTTTCGTATTTCCTCAGATATAAAATGGTTAACTTCATACTAATCGAACCTTAAGGCACTGTAATCGAGTTATGATGCATTTTTGAAGGTATAATTATCATGAAAAGTCCGCTTATTTTTCAGTGTCACCTCGAAATGAATGTACAAACATCTGGACCACCCTTTTGTGGGAATATTATCGCCTGTGAAATCATTGACAAACTACACTTTTATCAATAAATAATCGCCAGGTCATTTATAGTTTATAATTTATCATTACAGGAAGTGAGCAGGATAGTAAACCAAGATAAAAACACGCAAACCAATCTAACTTCGGAAGCAATGAATCAACAATTTGCCAGGCTGGAAGTAAGTATCTTGCTCAGACTTTTTGATATAGTCCATAAGCTCCTTCAATTTGATAGCTAACTCCAGATGTTAAAAATGTTGTAGTACAGTAGACCAACTACAGGCTCTTCAATTTAGAAAACCTACCTATTAGTTAGGCTATGTGCCAAGAGGTTGTTAAATAATGGCGGCATCTTGATAATTGCATCATTATAACACGTGTATGGATCCACTCGTGTACAGGGAAATGTTGACATTATACAGGGTGTTACAAATTCGTGGGTAAGCATGGGAATCTCAGTATAACCATAAGATATACAAAGTAGGTCAAATCAAGACAAAGTTGCGCAATTTGAAAAAATTCCCATTATTTCCGGAGATATCCGGAGAAAAAGGAAAATATGCAGAATCGTTTTTTTTATTTCTCAGTTTATTTGAAGAGATATTTCAAAATGAATGTCACTTCATCATTATCACTTCTTCCTGTACAAAATGGAATTGTCGAATTGGAAATCCGACGTTTCTTCTTCGAACGGCCATCATCAACTTTATTTTTTTAATACGGACCTGGATTTTGTGTTTCCTTTTTGGATAGTTTTCGGTCTCCTTGATATGATGATGTACCAAAACAAGTCATAAAATGTTTACTTCAGTGAAAATACTGTTTATATGAAGTATGGAGAAACTCATCTTTGTCTAACACAGTGTTTTTGTTATTAATTTGTCTTTGTCTCACTCACTATTCAGTGCGGAGGACTTCATAATTAAATTGATCTTATTCAAAATGTATTATCTGTACGAAGACGCTGAACGGACATAGCAAAAAAAATTGTTTCGTCGTTTCAATATAATTGTAAGATTCTTCTGGCATTTAAGGTAATTGCAAGATTTATTTTACAGGCTTGATTGACAGATTTATCTTGCATTCAAGCTAATTGCAAGATTCATCTTGCAGTTAGGGCTTAATTGACAGATTTATCTTGCATTTAAGCTAATTGACAGATTTATCTGGCAGTTTAGCTAATTGCAAGATGTTTTTTGCAATCAAAGCTTGTAAGATGTATCTTACATTCATGCTAATGGACTGATTCATATCTGGCATTCAAGCTGATTGTAATATTCATCTTGCAATTATAACCTAAAAATCGTTAATGTATTTATGTGAGTGAATATTATAGAATATATGTACAGGGTGATTCATTGGGAAATGCGCATACAGTAAGGGTATAGATAGAGGACACTGAGGTGCTTCTGAATGATCTATATTTCGTGGACCTATCATTCTCTATAACCGAGATACAAGGTGATTTATTAATTTTCCCCATATTTTCAATTAACCAAATCTAATGAACCACCCTATATTTTTGTGATAATTGGTTCGTATGTTCTTTGTCCACAATGGTGACGATTGACATATAATAAAAAGTCTTATTCCATTTCCGGCCTTGAAAAAATTAATGAGTAAGTTTCGAGACGAAACCACACCCTGTATATCAATATTTTAAAATGTTATTTGCGAAATTTTTTACCCATTAACTTGAACCAAATCTATAGATGTTTTGATAATAACTAATGAGGTGGCACAAAATTGAAAAAAAATTGTCGTTCATTTCAAAATATTGATATACAGGGTATTGTATCGGTCCGAAACCTACTTATTAATTTTTTCAAGGCCAAACCTGGAATAAGGTTTTTTTTATTATGGTGACGATTGATCACCAAAGTGGACAAAGATCATACGAACCAAATATGACACAAATGTATAGGGTGGTTCATAATTTATGATTAATTGAAAAAATGTGAAAAATTGATAAATCACCCTGTATCTTGGTTATAGAGAATGTTAGACACACGAAATATATATGATTCAGAAGTACCTCGGTGCACTCTATCTACTCTCACTCTATCTACTCATAATATTGACTCACATAAACACATCAACGATTTTTAGATTATAATTGCAAGATAAATCTTTTAATCAGATTAAATGCTAGATAAATCTGTCAATCAAGCCTTAACTGAAAAATAAATCGCCAATAAAATCTTGCAATTATATTCAAACAACGAAAAAAATTGTTTTTCTACAAACGTCAAAAAATGACAATGCTCGCGCCTTGATAACAATTTGCGAAGTGACACTTTTTTTCAGTTTCTTAATTTGAGTCAATTCCTCGACATAACTGTTTTTCTGCTTTTATTCATACGTGCCTCGATTTAAACTGATCTAAGTTGGCCCAGTGCATCAATATTTCCGAGATTTTGCCCTTGTTAATGATAATATCCGATGTTCCATCCTTTCGATTACCTGTCGACAGGGGCATCGTCCTAGCTTCTCAGGTAAGGCACTAGCCACGAGAGATGTGGTAATTTACCAAGAATTCAGGAATTCTTCAATACAACATCGAATAAATTCTACAAATACCACATCGCTGGAAGTGACCTTACCCGGAACATTACTCAAACAAGACAACACCACAACATCCACAAAAAACACGGTCTGATATATGCATCAACCGATGTCTTTAGGGAACCTGGAAATCTATAGATGGTTATTTCCGATCTCACTGTGCCCAACATAAGCTTGTCAGGAGTAACCATACCTTTGAAGACATCCATTTCGATGCTTGGGATTACTATCAGCAATAACCTTTCTTGGGAAAATCACGTGAGATCAATTGCTAAAAGTGCATCCCAAAAACTTGGTCGTCTGTTTCGGGCCAGGAGCTATTTCACTTCCAGTCAGCTGCTTATGATCTATAAGGCACAGATTCGACCTGTCCTGGAATACTGTTCCCATATTTGGATTGCAGCACCCAAACATTCCCTGAAACTGTTGGATTCTGTCAAAAAAAGGGCAATTCGTCGCGTGGGTGATGCCTCGCTCACAAACACTCACTTTTCTGGAACACCGTAGAAAAGTTGACGATCTGGCTCTATTTTATAGATTTTTTCATGGACGATGCTCTTCTGAAATATCAACAATTGTTCCTCCCTTGGCAGTCCCCGCGAGATTAGCCCGTCGAGCTGAAGCTTCGTATCCCTTCGTGGTCACTTTGAAGACCTGCAGAACATCTCTTTCCAAGGACTCGTTCATCCAACGAACAGCGAGGCTCTGGAACACATTGCCAAGGGAGGAGTTTTCCGAGGCATATAAACTCCAGAAATTTAAGATGAACAGCAATTCCTACCTTATTTCCCTTGGTTCTCACGATGTTCTCTGAACATTACAGGATATCCCTTTTCGTGGGAACCTGAACATAAAAAAAGTCCCTGACTTGATCGTAACTCCGGAGAAGAACCAGACAGCGCTATCTCCCAGGAATGAGAGCAACATAGTACCGCTGCAACACCACCCGTGATGCACTGGCGCTGAACTCGTCCAGATGAGTACGCACTCCTGCGCCCGACAATTGGCCTTATAGCCGAAAGGGGGCTGAGCGTGTTTTGTAATTTTTATTTTCCTCCACAATTACAACACTAACCACTGATAGCGTCTGCAAAACTCCTTCACCCATTGGGTATCCTCATTGACATTACCTATACAAAGGGCTTAGTCCTAGGTCATGAGCTGCTGTGACGAACACTCCACAAGTCCACATATGCACTCACATTCCTTGGCCAACACCAACCACCTCTGTCTCACTCGGAGAATTTTATCTATACAGTTCATATAGCACAAGATATGGTATGGATATGCCGTCCTTCGGAGGGGACGTTAAGCCGGCGGTCCCGAGGCCATTGATGTTGGGCTCGTTAAAGATCCCTACCCCTAGTTGGAACACCAGAGGATTCGGCAAAATATCCGGTTGGGAGTAGTGTGCTCACCGACGTCGGTGATTAGCCTCAGTAGCAGAAAAAGGCTGACGTGTTATAGAAACAAGAAGAAGACGAAGAACCTATCGATAGGGGTGAAACATTCTCGGAAATGTTGATGCTCTCTGTCACAAACTTAGATCAGTTCGAGTAGTGGCACCTTTGGATGTTCGTGAAGGGGGAATTATCCCCTGTTATTTCCAGTTTCTTTTCAACTCGATATCACGTGGTTCAGGTAGAGTTTTAAGATCTACCACAAATAACCGCACAGGAAAGGGCAATTTTTATACAAATACAATGTTTTTACATACCTGTAGCCTATACATACAGTGTGTCCACCTTAAGGACTTACCACCCCTGTAAAATCGTTATTATCCGACCAATTTCAAAAAACCTTTTTTTGTTGGATAGGTATTTGAAATGCCCATCCAACGAGAGAGTGATCTAATTCTTGGACTGTTATCGTGGCCAACTGCGACAAATTTCAATGACCCATATTCCAGAAAGTACTATTAGGGATTTTTTTTTCACGAAACTTGATGATGGATTCTGAATCAGTACTACTTGAAATATACCTGTACCGATTTTCATCATCATAAAGCACAGGGTGTCCGAAAAAACGAATCATCATTTTCTTCAAATAGGTGATCAGCAAATGTAGTTCTGTGGTTGTTCTAGAAAGAAATAATCACAAATTATATCATTGAGGATTATTTCAAATATACCTGTACCAATTTACGCCATTTGAATATACAATGTGTCTGAGAAAAAAATTAAAAAGGATAGGTAAGCAATATTTTTCATCCTGATAATTCTTCACTCAAAATAAAAAGATGAACCAGGATCACTTGGAACATACCTGTACCGATTTTCATCATCATTAAACACAGGGTGTTCGAAAAATCAAATTAATATATTTTTTGAGCTGATGAAAAAATATTGCCTACTTTTTCTTTTTAATTGTTTTCTCATACACATCGTATTTTTGAATGATGAAAATCGGTCCAGATATGTTCAAAGTGATCCTCAATAATAATGTGTCATCAATTCTTCTCAAAAATACCACAATACTACATTTTCTGATCACATATTCAAAAAAAATACATAATTCGTTTTTTCGGACACCCTGTGTTTTATGATGATTAAAATCAGTAAAGGTGTTTTTCAAGTGATCGTGATTCAGAATCCATTATTGTTTTTTGTGGAAAAAAAATCCCTAATAGTACTTTCTCAAATATGGGTCAATAAAGTTGGTCGCAGTTGGCCACGATTACAGTTCATGAGTAAAATCACTCTCTTGTTGGATGGACATTTCAAATACCTATCCAACAAAAAAAGTTATTTGAAATCGGTCAGATAATAACAATTTTACAGGGGTGGTAAGTCCTTAAAGTGGACACACTGTATGTACAATGTGTCTCACTTCTATTGGAAACACCCCTGTACCTTACGTATTCGTTGGGTAAGGATCTGAAATTTGCTGGAGCGCGAGATATATAAAAAATTCAGATAAAGTGAGGTCATCTTCAGAGATATACACTGCTCGTCAACAGCCATAAAACTACCCCCATTTCCAGAAAATTATATTAGGAAAATCGTTTCGGATTCGGAATCAGGACGCCCAATTCACTGACCATATTTTTCCTGAAAAATGTCCAGTTCTGAAAATTTCATTTTTGTCTCACTTTTCATGGAAACGCCCCCGTATCTTATGTAATTATCGAGTTAAGATTATTGAATTTCCAGGAGCAAGAAATATTCCAAAGATACAATCAATGACCAATTACCAATTACCATCAGTGATATACACAGCTCGCTAGTAGCCATATGGCCACCGAAATGTCAGAAAAAATTTATTAGCAGATAAGATATTGGTTGGAATCACTTACGGTTCGAGAACAGAAAACAACGTCTAATTCACTAACTACTCATATTGCTTCTGAAAAATTTTCAGTTCTGAAATAATGAATCTGTCTCACTCTTCACGGAAGCACCCCAGTATCTTACGTAATTATTGATGTAGAAGTCTGAAATTTTTAGGAGCAAGAAAGAGACCAATGACCAAGTAGGATCATCTTCAATGATGAACTGCTCGCCAGGAGCCACAGAACCTCCGACATTCCAGGAGGAAAAATTTATTAAATCAGACAATTCATTTAATGGTTGTTCTAAAATTGATAATCTTAGAGTCAGTTCCCATCAGGGATAATAAAATAACAATCAAAGCTAGAGTACAATCGAATAGATTATCAGGAGTGATCCAATGGATCAGAAATCATTACGGGTGTGATTGAAATGAATTATGAATTAATGAATTCGTTAATAGTACGAAGAAAATCGTTACCGATAATGATGTGTCAAAATATGGGAAGGGTTTTCGAATCCGAATTGATTTTCAACCTATCTTGTCTTGATATTATTTTCCAGACATGTGTATAGTTCCACGGCTGTTGGCGAGCAGTGTATATCACTGAAGAAGACCTCACTTGGTCATAGAGACCATTTTTGGTTTATCTCTCGCTCCAGCAAATTTCAGGATCCTAACCCAACGATTACGTAAGATACGGGAGTGTTTCCATGAAAAGTGAGATAGAAATGAAATTTTCAGAACTCTAAATCTTCCAGAAAAAATATAGATAGTTTGTGAATTGGGCGTCCTGATTCTGGATCTGAAGTGATTTTCAACCTATTTCGACTCCTAATATAATTTTCCGGAAATTGGGGTGGTTCCATGGCTGTTGGCGAGCAATGTAAATCACTGAAGATGACCCCATTTGTTCATAGAGCGCATTTCTGGTATATCTCTCGCTCCAGCAAATTTCAGGATCCTTACCCATTGATTACGTTAGATACAGGGGTGTTTCCATTAGAAATGAGACACACTGTATATCATTTCATTATCAGATGAAGATCGAAATTTGCAGCCGGCTCTTGGACTATCAAGCCCGAGGGGTAAATCTCCAGGAAAAATGTGTACACCAGACTTCCAATCAAAATAGACTTCCAAAGACATCCAAATACTTCCAAAGACTTCCAGAGACATCCAAAGACTACCAAAGACATCCAAAGACTTTCAAAGACATCCAAAGAATTCCAAAGACTTCCAACGGAGTGTACACCAGACTTCCAAGGAGATTTACACCTCGATCAAGCCTAACTTGACTTCTGGTATTTGTTTATATAGAGGAGCAAAATAAATGTTCGTAATGGAAAGCCTCAGAGGAGAAAATTTTGACATCGATTGATTACACTTCAAGTCCCACTAGCGTAGACTAGTCAGACTGAAAATGTTTGCCCTCATTATTAATCATTACTTTTTCGTTTTCAGAATGATAATGTCCAATTGAAAATCCAGGTTACTTGTTTGAAAACCACAGTATTACAGTTACAAAGAGAGTTGAAGATGGAAAGAGAAGGAAGGAATCTCAACAGTTGAATCTTCGAACTTATTGTCACTTATTATTTTTGTATAAAAACCTAGTTGAAATTTTATGTCGAGAAAATGTAAAATTAATATAATTTATTAGGTAGGCATACTTTGTGAAACAATATCAGTTTTTTGTTCTTTGTTGTTTTGACACAAACCTAACCCACTTTGTCCAGTCGTTTAGTGCTGGTAGGAGTGGTATATAGGTACTTGAAATGAATAAAAAGACTAAAGAAAAGAAACGATCCATTTATTATTGGTTACACAAACTGGCAAACTGTTAATTTCTATAATGAGCCATCAGGTCTACAGAGATTTTGGGGTATTGATTGAATGAACTGAAAATTTCATCCCCTGCTCACATCATTTCCTCTGAACAGTACATTTAGGTAATAATAACTAAATGAATAATGTTTACAAAATATCAACAAAGGGAAATACTGATGAGATTATTGTTATATGACTTTCAAATTTGCCTCCTATTATACCGGGTGACACAGATGCATGGTATATACACCTCGTTTGTTTTTTTAATAAGGAAGATGATCGAAACTCTCCTAATTTCGAGGGACAACGGAAAATGAGAAAAATCCACCGCCCCGCGTGACAGTCGAACTCACAACCTCTGGTTTACATGCTCAACGCTCTGCCTATTGAGCTAACGAGACATCCGTCGATCAATTGGCATGAAGGTTGAGTTCCCAACATACACCGCGGCAGAATCCTCCCAATTCCCGAAGTCACTTGAAATCATGCACTATGAAGTATTGCTGGCAGGATATATAGTTACTGTACAGTCTCCATTTTTCATACCTACATATAGGAGTGAGAGATAATTTAATTGACAGAGCGTTTGGCATGTAACCCAGAGGTTGCTCATTTTCAGTTGTCACTCGGAATTAGTTTTCATCATCTTCATTATTATCAGAGATTAGCCACCCACAGAACGGGTGGCTAATCTCTGTTATTATATCTATCTTTTCGGTCGAGTCTACCAGCGATACTTCATATTGTGCATGATTTCGAGTGGCTTCGAGAAATGGAAGAATTCTAACGCCTGGTGTGTGATGAGAACTCGACCTTCCTACCGATTGATCGACTGATCTCCCGTTAGCTCAATTGGCGTAGCGTTGGGCATGTAACCCAGAGGTTGTGAGATCGACCCTCACGCGGGGCGGTGGAATTTTCTCATTTCCCGTTGTCACTCGAAATTAGGGCTTATTATATGTATCTTTTCGGTGGAGTAACCGACAAAAATTATCACTCACTCCTATGTATAGATTGCTTGCGGATATTTCCGTATACAAGGAGAGACAATGCCAGAGGACGAACGGGGAAAAATGGCCGTTTACCGTTATCCACCACTCGCTACTCGCTAGTCTCTTGTCGCTCATCAGTGCACGGTTCCAAATCTGTTATAGAATTTCCGAACTTTTTTGGTATTATACAGGTATAGGGTATAAAGTTGTGAGCAAGTAACGGCAATCAGAAAATATTTCAAAAAGAATAAATCTCAAATTTGATCTAATTAAAATATAACAGAAGCATAATTATACCTCTAAAAAGTATTCATAAAATAAATAGCAAACGAAAATATTAATTAAAATATCATCGATCGGATACTGCTGGACAAAGAATGGAATGGGCGTGTACACCTTAGTAGAACATTTAACTCAAACCATGTTTATAATGAACCTTTTATACATAAATAAAGATTGATGACATAATTCGATCGAAAAATTAACTGGAATGTTTTATTTTTGGACATGAATAATAGTACCTTCTGAAAACGGACCCTCTTATGACGTAGAAACCTCATCTCGCCATAGTTAACACGTTCGCTGCCGAGCTGAAATTTCAAAAAATGACCTCACGGGCCATATGAATAAATCGAATTATTTTACTGCCATAAGTATTTAATTTATACCCACACAAAAGTCCCCACTAAAACCCTCCAGGCCAAAACTTTCAGTTGCTCTTTATGCTGCCAGGCCGCAGAGATCATAAGCTAATGCATTTCTTATTGCCCGTGTATTACAGAGAATACACCGCTGTTCAGACTGAATGATAGTCCGTGTATCATTTAGGATAACCCGGCCTGTGGAAAGCACTACCTGGTATATCATTAATGATACACCAGGCAGCGAACGTGTTAAAAGAAAATAACAAACGCCCGACGGAGACTGAGGCAACTGATATATTAATTCTTTCAACTGTGATCTCGCGCTAATTCACTCTGTCAGAAATCATGTATCATTCATCTCTGTCTGGAATAGTCTTGTTTCAGTATTAGGGTTTTGACGTCACATCATCGCCTCGTTTTCAGAGGCCGAAAAATCGGGGATTTCAATATTTTTTTATAAAACGTTGGGAGCTCACAGCAAGAAACGGTTTGCAGTGGTGAGCTAGTTTGGGCACCTATGAAATAATTTTTTTTTGTGATATTAGCCCATTGAAATCGGTAATAATTAGTAGTTATATACGCATCGAGTAACGTACCAAAGAATGTGAACAACCATATAAATCAGTGTATTCATTTAGCCGGCTGTGTTTATACTGTGTCAGTGTTGTTCCTGCGTCCAAATTTTTCGTACAAGATTTTGTTTATAAACAGATTGGTAACGGACACTGAACTATATAACCCTTGTGGGGTTATAGTTCTGTGGTAACAGACGGAAAAAGCCTGCCATCTGACATTATAGGTAAATAATAGGTGAGAATATGTAAGTAATTTATCAATCATATTATACCTGTTTTTAGTTTGATACTAATTGTAGGACGATATTATTTGTACTATTTGTATAGTACCTTTGGCTAACATGTCGTCCCTATTGTAACATAGCTACACATAACTATGTTAACTCATAGAATGTCGTGGACTTCAATAAGTTTTCTTCATGAACCTCTAAATTGTATCACTATCATATATAAACCTCACCTATTGATTTGATATGATTTGATTTAAAAAATAAATTCATTAAGTTTTGTTTCAATGTTTACGAACACAACAGCACAACACAGAAGTATATGAAGCCGACATCACAGCCGACAGGTGGTATAACCGTCTATTCTTTGGTATAATTGTATTGAGTTCATTGCTATTTTCATCATGGCTGTGCCCATGGCTCCTTCCGATTCCAAGATTCTCGTGTTTAACCGTTACCACCGATACAACAAGGCCAGCAGACTCTGACGTAAACAGCTCGTGACGTCGCCAAGAGAGGCCAGTGTTTTATTTCATCGCTTGTCGACTAACCGCGTCAGTTCGTGTTAATTCATCGGTGATTCACGTATGTTTTTGAAACGGTCCCGAATTCTTTTGTTGTTTATTCATCAAAATAATTGGCGGAAAAATTACTGTTTTGTGAAATATTTTGTGTTGTGATCGGCGAAATAACAATGCCTTTCAAGTGTTGTGTTCCCTTTTGTCGGGGGAATTATGTGGGTGGTTCAGAAGTTCATGCTTTTAGTTTCCCGTTGGACGAGGAGCTATCGGCGAAAATGTGGGTAAGTATATATGCAATTCACCGCGAGGATTTTACTCCATCTGAGTTCAGTAGTAAACAGAGCTTAATTTATAATGGTGAATTAATAATAGAAGACAATTACTCTCTCATATAAAGTATAAGTAGAGGGAAAATAGAAAAGCTTTGATTGTGCAGTTAGTTTTGTATTCGTATATTATAGTCAACAAAATCATCTCTGAATTCGAGGAAATTTTCTTGAATGTTCATAATAAACGGGCATTTTTAATTCTCATTCTCAAATTTCTTTCTGAAAACGGTAATTTGCCTCGTGTCAATGAATGCAGAATTCATTCCAATGATCAAATTGCAACTACCATATTAACATGAACTACAAACTCTCTACTTAAAAAGGTAAAACTGCATTTATCATGATATTTATCATGAAGATATTTGACTAAAAAGTTCCAAATTTCACCTTCTTTTTCACCTGTCTTCTGGATGGCATTTAGAACAAATTTCCCTTTTTTTTTTCTTCTTCTTCTCTTTGGGTTTATTGGATTTCTGTCTCCTTTCGGAAACAATTTCTCCAGATCAGGTAATTAATTATTTCAAAAATAAATACTTGGTCATGTAATAATATTTTCACTCGACTCGCCACATAATACACCAATTGTCTATCACAATGGCCTGAAGCCGAGTCATCAGTGTTCATAAGATTCGATCGAATGTACTCCCCTCTTATCCAGCAAATCCGTTGCTGATCCGGCCTGTTTACCGGCGTAGAAATAATGGAGCACGTTTGACTTCAAGTATGGCCCCCTTATTCGATGAATCCGTCATCATCCGGCCTCTATGCCGGCGTAGAGATAAAAGAGCCTGATATTTTTCACACACACTAAATAAACTTCACATTAAATATTGGATTTCAATCCAGATCAGGTAATTAGAAAAATATGGACTTCACACACATTAACCTGACTTTTGGCCTGGAGACGCCATGTTTCTCCTACCGTGGCCAAATGTCGAATCATATGATTTTCTTGAGATTAATCCATATTTAGTGAAGAGAAGGAAGAATATCATTCAAAATAATGGCGTGTGTAATGTCATTCGAAAGCAATCTATTGACATTTGACATCTCGTATTTTGATTGTCTATTGATTGAATGGTCGTCATCTGGAAAAAATCATATTTCCTGTTGAATTTTCTATATAAAAATGTGCCATCGAAGTACATCATGAGTATATAAATAAGTGTCCAATGACAAAATAAGAGCAAAGTAGCTTCAAATGCCCCCAACACAAGGGGAGAAAGAAGGCGAAATTTCGAACTTTTTCTTGAAATATCTCAATAAATAGTGGTTTGTTCACATTTTCATTATAAAATTCGGTTTATCAGACAAAAATACGTGAGTACCGAAAAAAATTTTCAAAAAAAAACCATCGCATGATAAATGCAGTTTTACCCTTAAAAATTACGGTTTCAAGTGTAACGATCCACTTGGGTGAAAAATCCAACAACTGAAAATTGAAAACACTCACTGGTTATTTTTTCAGGTAATAGGAATTCTCCAAGATAAATATAGGTAATTGTAACAAACGGCATGTCAATCAAAATAAAATACATTTTCGACAATTTTCTTTCGATCAATCTCACGATAAGTTTATGTTCTGCGGACCCTGTATAAATAGGTGTGAAGTTTACCTTCACCACAATTTTTGCCAATATATTTGATTCGAATGGGTTGCTGTAGGTGGATATTTGTGTTTTATCC